CATTCACCAAGCTTACCACTGTCGATTGTTTGTCCCAAATGACTCGCGCATGAAATAAGTCGATATGACGGCTGTATTGTAACTCCCTTTAACAACAAAAGTTATTAATTATAAAGGTCATTTTATTCAAGTTCTATGGCTCATGCAACATTACTCTCATAAATATTTCATTGCAACCAAATTACTACCCAATTAGTCATTTATTTTAAGAATTTATAGGCAAAAAACTCATAGATTTATCACAAGAGTTTTGTAAAACTGTAAAAATAGATCTGTTTCCTCGGAAAATTTTGTTACAGAATAACTTACACTGTCATTAAAAGCCATGCTATAAAAACCTTTGGGGTTGAGCCGGTTATCCTGAATAAAAATGTTCGTTTTAAAGTAATATGAAGAACAAGCTTTGATCTTCACCCTCCACGCTTTCGGATCTCATATGCTACTCCAAAATTCAAATTCATACAAAATCTCTATTACGTTCGCATAACAAATGCTTGTGTGTTTCTCACGCTCAAGTATCAGTATACCAGTAGTTCTTGAAACCCAATAACAAAGTATACCGAAGGTTTAAACACCGGAAGAAAGAGGCCATTCTCATAATTCAGATAGACACCTTCATTTGCACCAATATGATATTGCTGAATGCTCAAGTCTAAATTCAAAAAATTTCAATAGCGTTGATTTTCGAATTTGAACAGTACAACTGTTTTAGATTTGAGGAAGAATCAAAAGATTAAAAAAGGAATAAAACTACAAATTGGAAAATTAATTTAAACGAAGTCCTAAATATAACTTCTCGATCAAATTTCTAAAAGAAAATTAAAATTTACTTCTGCATCGTTCCTTTAGCACCGGAAACTTGGGTCTGTAGCAAAACCATCGTCCTCGACGAAAAATCCAAACATCAACTTTGAACATTGATGAAAATGCGAGAAGTTCCACGTCAGAGCCATTTTCGACATTTGACAATAGATTGTTAAGGTGATAATCCCATGTAGTTCTATCCCATTGTTTCAGATTCATAAATTCAGCCGCATGTTCCAATTCAAATTGAATTATCTGAAGCAGAAAAGTATTTCTGCTGTACGATTTAAACTAAATAATTTGAGATTTGAAATATACGGTTGGAGTAGTTGCTCGATGCATAGTGCTAAATGCCAAAACTATTGCAAACATTCCTCATCTTCAGAAAGTTGCAAAAGATTTTTTCAAAGAAATTCTATTGCCTTAACTCTCGATATTAACCGGCAAAAAGTGGGCAAGAAACCAACAGCTTGTCGGATTTGATGGAAATCATTGTCATCGCCGGTAATATAATGAGCCAACGCTTGAAACAGGCGGTTGTCGTTCCCTGGAACAACAACTAGAAAATCGGGTTGGTCATACATGCTCATCCAGTGTATCGACGACTCCATCCTGAAATATTTTTCAGTTATAAATACTATCCGAAAATTTTTTTCTTGTTTGACTAATGTTTCCGTATGAAGTAAGGTTTTTTCTTGAATGAGCAAACCGTTATGAGAAGCAGATTCAACTTTCCAATTACGAGAATGAAATTTGCCAAATCAAACAAAACAAACAAATTAGACGTTTTTTTTGGAAGTATTAGAGAAAAAAAAGTACACATACATCCAATTATCACGCGGAAGTAAACCAATCAGTGCGCAAATCTCATTTCGTTTCATTTCGCTTAATGGCTTGTAAGGAATTGGTTGAAGGCCAAAGGTACTAACGACTTCCTCCTTAAAGAAACATAACTTCACAATTTACTAATCATAAATTTTAAAGATTTTGATCGCTGATTTCAATACATTTAATTTCGCAGTGATTTGGAGAAATCAGTCGTATACTGTTTGTATAATTGCAAAATTGATTCGATTTCCTATGATCTCTATCGTATTTTCGATCAGTTACAACAAATCTTCTTAAGACAGCTGTATGCTGCTCTCCATCATCCTTTTACATCCTGAAATAAATATTCGAAACTTACATCGTCCAGATTCCCAACATCCTGATTGGTATAATTTGTCGTTGATATGTTTCTGGAGTGGCTGAATTTACCAGTACAGAAGGCTTTATCACCGTTAATTTGTAAATATCTGATAGGTATGATTGTCATCTCATGATGTGACATTTTCTTGTCTGCAAACAATGTAAGAATAAAAAAGTACTCAACCGTAGGGAGAAATAAACAGCAAAGCTATAAAATTTACATGTCATCATTTTTTTCATTTCGTCTGATGGTGAGAATGATTTGCTTTTTTTCAAATACATTTTCGCCTTGATATCATCCTGAAATCCGAATTCGAGGTAGCAAATTTTGAATTTCATAAAGCATCAGATGTACTAGATAAAAAGTCAAGTTACTGGAAAAAATTTACTGGATTTCCCGGAGGGATATTTTCCTTATTGTCGTTCATTATATTTTGCTGGCATACCAAATCTCTGATCATCTGTGCATCCAACTGTAAATTCATGTTGTTTTTCTAAAGCAAAATAGAAAATCCCCTATAGCTCCACGCCCCATAATGTTCCCTAAACCAAGTTATGCAAAGCATTTCAAACCTCTTCTTTGAATTTAAGTAGTAATACTTTAGGAATTGTTCCACTTTGATCGCATCCTGCGTTATCTGATATTCTCCGCTTACGAGTCTGCAACTTAACAACTTTCTCAGCCAGTTTCCTGAGCTAATTCGCTATCCATTCAGAAAAAGGGAAAAATAAACTGATACCGCGCTTTGTTTTTGTTTAGCGATGGAATTCACATCTTCATCGCTATGATAACCAAATGATAATCGCTGTCCTCGCTGTCTTAAAGAAAATATCAAGATTTTACTACGTTATCGTGGTAAACTAATAGAAATTCCTCATGAGGTGAATAGTTCATCTACTTACGAGCCATATATGTGTAAACACAGATTACTAATGGACGTTTTAATAGACTCTTACAAGCTCATGTAACCTGCAAATGGTATACCCAATGAATGGCAGCGATTATTTTCAAAAAATGAACTGAGTAAAAATTTCATTGCTGTTTAATAAACATATCCAGTATCAAAAAGATGTAAAATTAAACAAGCGCAAATACCGTGATCTCTTTTGCAGATTTGCAGTATGTACCAAACGTAACTCTTTCAGCTCTTGTGACAACATTGAGTCCAGTACTTCTCTGGGAGGAAGAGGTTTACGCCAAACACCTTGTTTCTCATTCTAGAAAATTAATTTTCAATCATGACTTTGCTACACTACGAAGTCTCGTCAGTAAGTATGCACTTTTTTACTACTGAAAATTTTCTGAAGATACTTTGGTTTCACATGTAAATTATTAGTTTCTTCTTCAACCCCTTTTCTCACCCATTTTTTTTAACTCCATCAGTTGCCAATAGGCATACACGCCTTACTAGAAGTTTGAACTTACCATCAAAAAAGTATCAACTCTGTCACTCGAACTAGAATTAACACGACTCTGACCAAACTTAAACTCTGCACTGGTATTGAGATTATCTGCACTGACATGTTGTCCCAGTTCTCCGCGACTGGCCTCAGAATGTTTACTTAACATTGCAGTTTTAATGCGCATTCCATCTGGCTTGCAGGGATCTAAAGCAGATAGTTCCCTCTCACGTACGATTTAAGAAATGCTGAAGGATTTTTTTTTTTTTTTTTTAAGGTTTAGGTATTTTATTACGGGTACTTGGTCTCATTTAAGTCAGTTGTTAAACGGCATTAACCTGCAAGCACCTCAATGTCCACATTAATTTTTTCAACCAGCTTTTTTCAGGATTGTTAATAGTCCTTGTAGGACTACCTATAGTAAGATTGCCCAAAACAACTGATAATGCATCGGTGTTTGCATTACCTGCCCACGTGGACCGTGCACTTGCTGCTGACAAGTTGAGTTTGTTCGCCACGTTTTCGGGCTTCAAACGCCGCTTGACTTTCAAAAATTTTCGTCCGAGCGGTCTGACGGTGTTATGGTTAATTTTCCTAAAATTAATGTGTTGCTTTTTATTAATTAATATACCCTTTAGTTTTTTCTTGAGTTCAGTAATCTTAACTCAAAAATTCTGTTTTTTTGCTTATTAGAAACAATACGGAGAAAATGCATGTGGGAATCGTTTACTTACTTGATAGTTGGCAATAAAGCTGGATATTTAGCTTCTTCCGCTACAAAACCTTTATTCAACGTCAAATACAGTGGAATTCCCACTTCATCACCACGTTTTACAGCAGTGAATGCATTGAAGGAATATCGCTTGATAAACACGATGAGACATCTAAAACGAATATTAGTGAGGAAAGGAAGTACAAAACAAAGTTTAAATACCATCAAATTTTAAAATTGGATGTCACTGAAAATAAAGTTGAATGGAAATAAAATTATCTCGGAATTCGAGCAAATTTCTGGCTTTTATCCGCACTCGTGAAACCGCAAATCTCGCATTTTTTGTCCACTTGCTCAGTCCTTAAGCATTCATCTAGCAAAGTCTGCACTGTGACGAATCCTGGAGCTTCTGTTGGCCTAAAAATGATAAATTCATAAAATCTTTCCTCGAATCAATCTGGGTATATGAATTTTTTTTACAGACTATCACAAGATGTTTTCGTCTTAATCTTTTCAACAAACTGTGTCCAAGAAATAAAAAGATAAGGGACTAAATAAATATCAAAATTTAAACATGAAAATCTCTCAAATTCTAATTAAAAATTAATTTATGGTAGCTATTTTAAAATGTGCTCGCTTACCCAAAGCCTCCTTGGTCCATCACTTGGATCGAGACTGGCAAAGTAGCACTTTCTTCCTTGATCTTTGTAATAGCATTACAACTGAATTGATTCTCACATTTAAATAATTGATTAGAATGATTAGTAATATTTTATAAATAACTATTTTGCTTATTGCCGATTGTAGTTGAAGGAGGATGTTCAAGGCGCAGATGACGACTCTCTTATATATTGCCACAGATAATAAACAGATTAGAAGAACCTTCTACATCTTATGATGGATTCCATGACGAAGGTAAAATTCGATGTGACCGGATTTATTCTGTCTCGTTCTTGTTTATTCACAATGTTATATTGCTTGCGCAACATCTTATCGCACTCCTCTTGCATTTTGTTCAGAATATTACCTAAGAATTCTTGAGCATCCTGCAATTAAAAAGGTTTGCCACAAAAATTTGCACTGAATTGGTTGACAAACTCAAGTTGTACTAAAAGTGTTGCAATGCAATCGTCTCAGTTGGCGTTTGCATTCGTCGTGATGTATGTTTTACAACGTTAGGAAAGTTTTTCCTTTTGTCCATAGAAATGATTTTATACCACTGAAAGAATCAAACGAGTCAATCTTAAACTGAAAGTAATATTAGTCAAATATATCCATTTCAAAAAAAAACTAATGCAAATTTAAAAAGGATCAACCTGCTGTGCATTATTTGTGAAATCTGCCGTATCTTTAATTGCTTCCAGCAGTTTTATCTGCAACTGATCTACAGCAGTACCTCGTCGGCTTGCAAGATTAGCAATTGCTCTAAATTAAGTTGTTGTGAAAAACATCAAAAATTTGGTCTAACATGGAGGAATTAGGTCTTTTCTAAACAAAATTTTGTCCAATGCTTTTTGTTCAAAAAAAAAAGTGGGATTCCAGAGATATGACTTTTTTTGACGAAATTTACACGGGAGGAAGGGCTCTTAACTGCATCCTCATCCACGTTTGTTTTATGCTTGCTAGTTTCTTGCTCCAGAACAACTATATTTGCCTCAAAAACAAAGAATTAAAACCAATTTAGAATACCCAACATTAAATGCTGAGCTAATTATCTCTTACATTCAAATTAAAAAGGTCTGATTCAAATCAATAAAAGCCAAATAAAAGGAAAAGTATGAAAATTAAAAAAAAACAAATATTGCTATTAGAAACCGAACAATGAGCAAACAGAAAGGAAAAGCATTTCAAAAGAATAACTTTGAAAACAAATCCATAATCCCCTAAAGGTATTTGCTATCAATAAAGACTAATAATGTAATGAGCAGAGAACACCAAAAAAAGAAAAAAATCTCAAGATATTCAGAAGAACGAAAACAAAAATATGGGTGTAAACCAAAAAAAAATCGTTAAAATACAACCACAGACCAGGACAAGTAAAAAAGGCACAGAAGAAGAAGACAGTAACATTTTTTCCTAAACCAACTTAAGACCATCAAATAAAGTTTGCAAAACCCTAGTATGATCACTTTGTCAGAACCAACAGAAAGAAAAAATTTTTTCCCTCAATTTTCCATCATAATTTATCAAAATTGAAAAATAAATTTAGTTAATAACCCTCAACCACTTTTCTTTTACTAAACTACCATTGATGGGTTTCCTTATTTTACTACCTCCATATCAAAAGGCTAAGCCGTGAATTAAGTATAACACAATTTGATTTCGTGAACTTGAACTATTGGTTTCGAGATTTTGCTAAGATTCGTAAAATTCCTGAACTATCTTCATTGTTCCATGCAACTATATAGAAGGAACAAAGTGCATTTTATCTGTCTTTCAGAAAAGGATTAAGTAGGCAAGAGTACAATGATTAACTTGACTGTTATAAACATATTAAAGGAAATAAAAAAACTTACAAACTCAAAGGCATATCTTCGTCCAAATTCGAGCCACTCTCTTCGATTTTCATGCAAAATTTGTAAAGATCCTGTACAAAAATCCAATTAGCAAATAAGCATTGCAATATGGAACTCATATAGCATGTGTTGCCAAGATTCATGAGCCTGAAAATATATTTTAAAATATTTAGTATTTCAAATATTTAGTTTCCCAACGAGCGATTTCAGTGTAAAACTTCTGGAGGTACTTCAACAAACATCCCTATTCTTCCCAACAAAAACATAACTGCAGCAGCTCAGTACAGTCCGGATCAATACAATAACAGCTAATTCGCAATAACCTACCCAAAAGTCTGCGGTTTCAGAGAAGTTGGCATAGAAGGACCCTGAAACACACAAGTTCTTTCAACGTTATCATTTCCTTATTTCTGTGAACAAAACTAGTCATTGCATTGTTTTTCATTTGCACATCAAAATTATCGTTGTCATTTCGGGAATATCAGCCGAAAAGATTTGATGTGATTATTAGTAACTCTATTAATCACTGGTTTACAAAACCAAACTATTATGCCTCGTGTGACGTGAAGAGGTTACTTCCAAGTGAAGAAGTTACTTTCAAACAATTTCATAGCACTTAAATAAGAGATCTGAGATATAGCGTCATGATTGCGATATAAAGTAAAATTCGTTAGATAGAACATATTGCTTCCTATAACTACATGTACTTCAGGCATCATCAACTAGTGCCCATAACGGAAAGCGCTTCTGTTCAACTTCCTATGAAATTATGCATAGGAGTGAAAGAGACGACAGAAAAACAGGTAGCCAAGAGGAACGTGGAACAACTGCTCATGGCATGTGGCGATATCTGAGAAACATCCACAGCTTCTTACGAAATTCGAGCAATCATAGAAACAAAAACAGTTATGGAACCTCTACAAAATATTTAAAATATGGAAAGACAAACACGTACAGAAAGTTTCTCTTTTTGATGGACCAAGATATCGGCCAGAGACAGTTCACTTAATCTGCAAAAATTTAACCGTCAATGAATTTGAAGTACTTTCTACTTGCATTTGCATTCGTTTAAATAACATACTTCGCCGAAAGATCCTCAGTTTCAATTGCATCTTGTTCTGTGTCATCCCCCAAACAGAACGATTGCTTGAATCGCTTCGCGGATGGTTTCCATGAAAGGCTTTGGTTGATGTGAAAAAATATCTCTTTGTCTGCAACAAACTTAGAAGGAAATAAAAGAATAAGGTTATCTAGAGCAAACAGTGGGAAAATCTACATCCCTAACAAAAAAAAAGAAAAAAAAACTTACTCAGGATGGCCTCTTTTTGAATTGTGCATCCTTCCGTAGGTATTTTCCTAAAAGAAAAAGGTGAATTCGACCAAGTCGGTAATGTCTTGAATTTTCATGTCAAGTTGTCAAAACAATTTGAAGAGTTCATTAAATCAACCATCTTAGGGGTATTTAAAGGGATAGTACTATAAAAACAATACCAATCCCTACACTGTTTGGTCGTTTGGATTGTCGTCTAAAAAGCTTGTGCTGTTAAAAAAAAATGACAGTTAAATTCTAATCCCAAAGATTTTTATAGCTTTGCATAGTAGTGAAAAAACCTAACCAAATGATAGATATTCCAGTGCTTAAATCTTTTAAATCTTCCATGATAGAATTATGATAAAATAATTCTGGAGGCGTAAACTGAGCATTAACTGCAAAAGGCAATACAAATTATGAGATTGCAAATACTTGAAAATATTCAGAAGAAGCGTACCACTCATCAACATATCGAATATTCAGTTAACTTTTCCGTTTCTGCTTAAATAAAGGTTTAAATTTAAACGAGTATACTACCTAAATATTTCTTTTTCAGTAAACTGTGGACAGCAAGTAAATCTTCGTGACTTCTGAACTCGATAAAGATGTCGACATCAGTGAAACCCAAAAATCCAATACGGATAGTATTTCCCAAAGGTGGCGACAAAGGCAATCCTGAGAATGATCCAAAAGGGAAGATCTAAAAGATGAAATTGTTTTTCGCAGAAATGGACAAGCATATGTCATTTCTGATAAATCATAATGAATTCCAAAATATTCTCAAAAAAACGCAGCAACCCTCAACATCTCATTCTATTAAAAAATAAATAAGCATGGAGAAATGAAGCAGACTCAAAATAGAACTGAAATTCACTTACTATTCGATCATTACCAAAGGAAAAAGTAATCCCTTTTTCTTCGCTGAATGCCATAATCATGTTCTTTGGCCATGATGAAGAATTCAATAAAACAGATGATACCTTAAATTTACAATCACATTCATTTTCTAAGATAAAAATTATCGGTAGAATAATGCAAACGGTATATTACAACTTCGTTTTGGCCATTCACTTCCGCGCATCTTCCAGGAAGAAAAATAAGGCTGATCTGCGCATCATCCAGACCACTCATCAAATGATTAGACATTCGATAATTAAGTCACTTTTTAATGGGTGATGCGTTACCCGTATATGCGCAAGTAAGGCTTTCTCTTGATCGTACTTCAATAATGCCACTGTTGTCATTCTTACAGAATGGCGACATATCCCGGATGAAATGCTTCTCAGAAATGCAATTATATACATTTCGGATATGGTCAGGTTTCAACTTATGATCCTGTTTGTTTAATCATTCATTTCAACTCACAAAACTCATCCATCTAGTTTCCTGAGGAATCTGCATTCTAGAAAGTGGAACTTTGAACTATAGGAAAAATAACCTTAACCGCAAATTGATATTGTCCAGGCACCAAAGCTGTTTTTAAATCCATATTCCGCTAATTCTTCTCCACGACACCAGATAAACTGAGGAGCACTGGATAAAATTTTCCGGCTAATTATTTCACTGGAAAATTCTTTATCCTTTTTGGTGATACTCTTCGCTTCAAGGCCAAAAGATAACGCGAATTAAAAAATCAGATCAGCCATGAAAGGATGACCTGGAAGCTGATCAAGCTTCCAGGACAGTCTCCCACGCGCAATCACCACAGCCCCTCACTAACAAACTCCTGATTGTCATTAATTATATTGCGAAAACAGTAACGTTTCAAGTATTCGTTCAAATTTCGCGTCTTTCCCAAACTGTAAACTTTTTGAGGGTTTATAGAGTTGATTTCAAGCAAGTGTGCTTTTTCAGTTGCCCCCCCAGTCATATGCTCTTAAATCCTGAATTCACGCGGACAGCCGCAAAATCCTAACGTTTTCCGGATCGTTGCTGATCTCTCATATGCAGTTACCTCGTTTGCTCTTTCCTTACTTTTCATCTTAAAGTGATCTGGTAACATTTCTGATGCAATTATCCTAGAGGTCCAGTCTCGAAACGAACAGGTGGTTTTCCCATACGTAGCCTCAGTTACTGTGTTATAGTGATCCGGAAAACTCAGAAACTGCCCGAAAAATAGTATTTAAAGATACAGAATAAGCATATCCCTTTGCATTCCGACTACGATAATGGAAGAGTTTCAATTAAGATGGCTGAGAGTCAACAAAAGAGTCCCACGTATACGCATCTCAGCGCTAACATATCGACA